TGAGTTGCAAAATGCTACAGTGGATCCCCAAGTGAATCAGGAAGAAGATGATGGAAGTGTAAAGGGAACAATTGAGGAACTCGATCATTTCTGCAAAGAGGGAAAGATTGAGGAAGCCATTAAGGTTCTTGGTTTGCTAGAGCAGCTTCATGTATCAGTTGACTTATCTAGATATCTGTCTCTAATGGTTTTGTGTGCTGAGAATAGAGCCTTAGAAGAAGCCAAAGCAGTTCATGCAAACCTAATGAGGTCTGGAATTCATTTGGAAGTCAAAACTTACAACAAAGTTCTGGAGATGTACGGCAAATGTGGTTCCATGGATGATGCACTTGCAGTATTCAATCAAATGAATAAACGTAATATCACATCTTGGGATCGAATGATCACTTGGTATGGTAGAAATGGCCTAGGAGAAGATGCTCTTGAGTTATTCACTCAATTTAAAGAGACGGGCTGGAAACCCGATTCTAAAATCTTTTTGGGGGTCTTCTCTGCATGTGGTGAAGTAGGTGACATCATTGAGGGAATGCTTCACTTTGAATCAATGAGAAAGGACTATGGCATTGTTCCCTCCATGGATCATTATGTGAGTGTTGTAAAGATGATGGGAAGTGCGGGCTATTTAGATGAAGCTTTAGAATTCATAGAAAGGATGCCAATCAAACCGAGTGTCGATGTTTGGAAAACCTTGATGAGGTTATGTAGAATTCATGGAAATCATGAGCTTGGGGATCGTTGTACTGAGATTGTAGAGATCATTGAACCCTCTTTTTTGGATGAGCAATCAAGGGCAGGGCTAATACCAATTACAGCTTCAGACATCGCAAAAGAGAAAAGATTTCAGAAAACAACTAGTCAAAGCCTTCTGGAAGCTCGAAGCAGGGTACACGAATATAGAGCTGGAGATAGATCTTGCCCTGATCATGAGAAACTTTATGCTCTTTTGCGTGGGATGAGACAGCAAATGAAAGAGGCTGGTTATATAGCAGAGGTTAAGTTTGTGCTTCATGACATTGACCATGAAGGTAAGGAGGAAGCAATTATGGCACATAGTGAGAAGCTTGCTGTTGCTAGAGGTCTTATTGACAGTCCAGCTCGGGCATCCATACGGATTATAAAAAATCTCAGGATTTGTGGGGATTGCCATAGTGCAATGAAGATTATCTCTAAATTGGTAGGTAGGGAACTTATCATACGTGATGCAAAGCGATTTCATCATTTCAGAGATGGATTATGCTCATGTCGTGATTATTGGTGATTATAATGATTGACATAAGAGGTAAGAATTCTTCTTGTTACCATGAAAGAGGTTTATGGAGTTTGAAGTGCATAAACGTGATGAAAGTGGAATGGAAACCGCGTTTAAAAAAATTCATGTACCATATTTTACGATTCTACTTTATTGAATCCTTGCTTTTCAATTCAAAGCAAAGCATATTTTGTAAAATTTTATTGGTAATTTATTCATAAGCAAGGGTAGTGCCAATTCAAGAATGTAACTTAAGCATGATTGTACTGTCAGTGAGCTTCATATCTGAATTATAGTTTGGTTGTTGATGTTCCTTACCCCAATTACACACTTCTGATGGATTTACACGGGTAGATTAGGTACCTAAAAGAGTGCACTACTTTATTATGTTTTTGAAGGTTGCTGTGAAGTGCATTGTAATATCACATATGTATAGAGTTACTACTGTCTTGGTAAGTTGGTATGACATTGTACTCCTGTGTGTCCTGAGCTAATTTCCCTATAGTTGATTCTCTGTCCTGTACTACAAGAATCGGTGGACCGTTAAGAAGTAGCAAAACTTTTAGTTGGCTGTGCAAAAATACATTGTATTTCCAGAAGAGATTCCATTTTCGGTCAATGATTTGTATTTTGACTTTGCTTTCCCATGTCCCCGAAGGGATTCCTTGGATGCCCTCCAGGTTGGGGGCTGAAATGGCATTTCCTCTAGGTACCCCCCTGTTGAGTGATAAAGTGATGATTCGTTCTTTGAGTTTGGCTTATGAAATGAAAATGTTCTATTGAGTTTATTCATCTTATCAGTTACAAGTAAAATAAATTATTGATTGTTGTTTTTCATGTGTCAATAGATATGCATTGATAACGAAGCAAGTTGTTACCAGATTACTAACTTTTCAACTTCCTGCTTTGAGGTTAATTTGTGAATATGTTATTGTGGAGTAGATAAATTACTGTATCATAGCTCTATTACTAGCACTAGTATTACTTTGATTTAGAATGGCATACATTCACACACAACTTGTTGCTGCCTTTAGCCGATCGCCCGATCGTGGTTAGTTCATTCACTGCACTGCACTATCAAATGATAAAAAATCAGGAAATCCTAACAGTTTGTACAAAATCCACCAAATCTGTTATAACTTGAAAGCATATGGTTTTGAGAATATTATTTAGCTGTTACTCAAAACCATATGATTTCAAGTTATAACAGATTTGGTGGATTTTGCACAACTTAGGATTTCCTGATTTCCTGATCTCAAAACCACCAAATCTAGTATAATATGAATTATTTAGCTGTTATAGTAATAATAGTAATAATAATAAAATAATGCTACCTGTGTAACGTTGAGATCTTCTCACTTTGAAAGTGGGTGAGATTATGAATAGTGAAAGAGAACGTAAATTATTGAGGATATGATGGGAATATATGAATTAGTGTGATGGAATGAACAAAGGATAAATAAAAAAAAGTATATGTAATAGTGTATTATTTTAAAATTATTGAAGCTATGATGAGAAGATTTAGAAATAAGAAGATTATTTAGTTACGATTGACAAAGGAAAGTGAGAAGATCTTTACGTTATGGGATAGTAGTAATTACTTTTTCTAAGTTATATTTCCTCGGTATTTACTTACTTGGAACATGTCCCTTTTTCTAAACATGAAGAATATGCAGCTAAATATGAAGAATATGTATTACTCCGTCTTTAAGGTTATTTTGCAATAATAACCTTGGAAAGTGGGAACCCTTTATGAGTTGTGCTCCGTATAATAATTAATACGGAGTAATACTATACGTTCCGAATGACTTATGCAACAAATCCAAAATATTTTTTCCCAATTTTTTTAAAACAAAAAAAAATGCAATCAGATTTCATTAAATTTCACGGTAAAAACATTTGCCTTAACAAGAAAGCACCAAACATTTGCCTTAAGCAGTATGACTTCTTTGAAAGTGTGTTACACAATCCATTCCAAACGGGCACAATAATCACAAGCAAATAAGCAATGTAATAAATATTCATGCTTATCCCGTTCAATCCTCTGTCTTTGTTATTTATCTGCTTAGGTTTAATTTAGTAGCAAGTAAATTAGTCCTAATCCTAATTAATTTTGTCTAAATTAGTTCACCACATAACGATCACAAGCATAAGTGCAATAAAAGACAGACCATTAAAAGGACTTATATATTACTCGTAGAGTTAATTATCAAAATAGGACTAAAAGTCATTCACTTTTCACAAATAGGACCAAAAAATAAACTATGTTTACATATGACTAATTATGTGTACCTTGGACAATTATACCCTTATAGCTATTAAAATGTTTTAATTCCTAATAAAATAATAAAAAATAATAATAATTCGTAAAAAATACTAAAAAAATTAAGAAAAACAATTCGATACTAAAAATTTAATTTTTTTTTTCAAAAAATTAAAAAAATTAAAAAAAAAAAAAACTCAAAAAAAAAATCGTCGCCGCTTCTGCTGCCTCAGCACCACCACCTCCAGTCACCAGGGGGAAAAAATGTCAAGTTCATTACGAATGCCATATTTATGGCAGAAAAAAATGAAAATGTTGGCATTCGAAAAGAGAAATATGCCACTTTTTTGGCATTTTTAGAAAAAAAATGGCATTTTTCTGGGAAAATGGCATTTTTTTCATCGGCCGGAGGTGGTGGTGCTGGGAGGTAGTACAGGCGGTGGGAAAGGCATCCATATTTTTTTAAATTTTTTTTACGGAGTTTTACTATTTTTTATTAATTTTTTTAAAAATAAAATTATTTAAAAAAAAAAAGTTTTTGAATTTTTTATTTTATAAAAATTTTATAAATTTTTTAATTATATTTCTACGATTTTTTGAAATTTTTTCGAATTTATTATGAATTAAACATTTAATTATGGCTTTTGACTATTTTTAATTCATATTTAATGGAAGGGTAAGAATGGAATGCAAAAATAGGTATGTTTCCAATAGGACTCATATGGTCCTATTTTGGAATAAAAACATAACAAGTCCTATTTTAGGTTTTTGCCATAGTTTTAGTCCTATTTGAACTAATTTCTATTACTCGTATTATTTAAATTGAACTATAGAGTACTTACAAGAAATGTTGGTAGTACCTCAACCCAAACTTTTCAACCAGAAACGGCCTCTCGTGCCAAAAGAATGAAAAAAAGAAAATACTATTAAAGCTAAAAATCATTCTGAATTGCCTTTATTCTAAATTTTAGTTTCAATAGCAAGTACAGTACCAAGCAAATAAGCAATTGGTGCATAGAAAGAAAAAAGGACCTGTTTGGACATTACATCCGAAAGCCAGAAGTAAAATTGTTGTTAAATTCTTCCACCTAAAAACCAGACCAACACTCCAGGCCCATTTTAAAAGTTCCGACCGGACCCGGTACCTAAGCTAATCCCTGGTTCCTACAAAATCAACCATAGACCAGATCATTTCCAGCTTTGTTATTAGAAAAAAGGCTAAATCCCTGATCATGGAACGAACTGAGCACTGGAACAGAGCAAGGCCTGCTTGGGGCATGGAACTGGACTTTGTCCATTCCTAGACCATGGTCTAAAAATACCGTGAAGCAAAATGGGTTGTATCTAAAAGGAGCAGGCAGAAGCTGAATGAACAACCCTCATAGCCCACTTGACCATTTTTTAAGAGTCTTATGCTTATAATTAAAAAACAAGAATGACAAATAGATATGAACATCATGATGAAAATGAGCAATAATAACAAAAGAATACTAAGAAAACATCACAACTATGCAAATCTGGATGTAGGATATAATTCGCACTACACATGACTACATGAGGGCCACAAATTGTGCACCCTGAAGTTGAAAACTAGAATATCACCGGGGGGGGGGGGGGGGGGGGGTACTGCCAACATGGAGGGTAATACACAACAATAGTTGGAATTCAAACTAAATGTCATGATTTTTTGTTGTTGAACAGAGGCATTAAGAGGCTCTATTTGTTAGCCGGCTTTGGCTTATGAACAGAATAAGTAACTTTACAGACCCAGGTTAAGCTTACAAAAGGGGGCTCCTAAATTGACATAGTGCAATGAAGAATGAAACCAAAGTTCTCCTGGTCATCATCATTAAAGAGTGTCAGAGGTCTCAAACTCTCAATCATTCATCAGCATGCTCAAAGCAAACAGCTTAGTAAACTAATCAGAGGCAGAGGATGATGGTTCATAATCAGAGGCAGAGGATGATTTTTCATAATCAGAGGCAGAGGATGATGGTTCATCTAAAGCCTCGAGCAATTTACGGTTAGCAGATTTTGTCCGGTAACACCACACTTCAAATGCCTCACTCAGGTCCGGATACTTCACATACTCTCCACTACTCATCCAATCGGCCAATATTTCAGCCTGATTGTTTGATGGCAATGCAGAAACCAATGACACAATTGCCCCCTCAATGGTCTCTGACAGGTCTTCCTCCATCCTATAAGGGAACTCTATATCTTCATTTCCCATTGAATCAAGAAGAAGCTTCATTTTCCTCACATACGGAAGCCACGCCTTTAGGAGTTGTACCCTGGCTGGTGGTGGAAGAATTAAGGTACCATAACCTACAACATCTAAAACTTTTGAGGTGACCTCTAGTAGCTTCACCTTTAAGCCCCACATAAGAAAATGGACTCTTTTGTCCTCGACAACTGTCAAGACACAGTTAGATATATCTGTCCAATGTGCTACGAAATCTCTCATTAGACTTGTCTTCATGAGAACATTGCAAAGCCACTCAACATCGGCCAGACTCTTCATTATCTTCTTCTCCACATCCATGTATTTCATGTCAGGCTCTGAAAGAAGGGAGAATAAGGCCTTCTCAAATGATGTGAAGATCTTGCACAATCCCATTCTGGCCTCATGCTTTATTTCCTCATCGGCTATGATGATACTGAGAATCTCCTCTTCATCATCCCAAAGCATGAACTCCACTTGTTCTTGGGCGCAAGTTCTGAGCTCATCACCAAATGGAGGAGAAGGGTCGTTGATGGAAGTTGCAAAACGGAATGCTGAGAGGAAAACGTCTTTGGTGGCGCTTAGCTCTCCCGGGCTAGCCTTGATCGATTTGGTCATATCAGTTGTTTTCGGGTTTCTACATTAATCTCATTTCCCTTATCTCCTCGTGGCATCTATCTGCAACCCTTAGAATTCCAATAAAGGGAAAGGTATCATGAATCTTTAAATATATTAAAGAAATGGACAAACAAGGGCACTACCAACATCAACAATTCAAATATGTCTGGTTTTCATATTTTCCCCATTAATGCATTTAGCTCTCATCAGAAACAGCAAGTATGTAAAATAGTATTGCGTCAGTGACTCATTCCCTAATTGGTTCGCCAGTTTGTGTTCATGATATTTAATTGAACTTAAACCTTACATTTTAAATACGGAGTACAATAATAGTTTCGGAGAACAAACAAGAAAAATATGTTAACCCAACAATTATATCAGGACAAAGGATTTATCGTTGTCTAAAGTTACGAACCAAGAAAAAATTCATAAGCCAAAGAACAGATTTCTATACACATAAGATTCACAAAAAATAGAATCTCACACCTTTTCTACGAAAAATGAAAAGGAAGGGCAAGCCAACCACGAGAAGATTTGGATTCGTCACGTGGCGGATGCGGAGTGAAATGGCTTCGGTGTAATTAGTTCTGGAAAAGAGAGAAGTTGGAGCGGAGCTTCACTGCTGAGGTGAAGGTAGCGGCGAAGATACACGGCGGAGTGAGCGGGCAGCTGTCATGGATGCGGTAATCACTGTTCAAATTTGTTTTGGAGTTTTGGTGAAGTGATTTAGAACTATTTTCAGTCTGTTTAGTGGATTGAGCTAACCTGATACAGATTCTAGATCAATATGTCCAACCAATTAACACCAACACTCACTACTAAACAAAATGTAATTTTAAGAACTATTTTAGTTAATAAATTAGATATTTGATTGTAAAAAGCAAATAACTTCTTTATTTTAGTACCTCATATGAGGTATTTTATATTTCTTCCGTTTAGTATCTTGTCAGACTCCCTCCCTCCTCTTATAATTGTTCAATTTTTCATATTTGGATGTGCCTCTATTATTGTCTCATACCATATTTCTTAACATTTGTGTGACTCTAATTCATTCTTACTTTATTCCCATTTTATCAACTCATTATCAACCACGTAATTCTATTTTTCTTAAAAACCGTATCACTCTCTTTCGTCCCAATATTAGGGGGACAAAGGTAGTATTAGTTACGTTGCGGTGTTTAAGAAGAAAATAATAGCAATAATATATATGGTGTAGGATTTAAGTTTAAATGGAAAAAATACGAAAGAGAATATTTTGAGAAATGTAATTAAGTGAATGGGAAAAGGAAAAGAAAGAGAGATGGAAAAAGGAGAAAAATCAAAGAGGAAAGAGAAATGAGATAGAAGGTACGTAATTAATTAATTACGAAAATAATGCTGGGTTAAAAGTATTTACCGATCTACTGTTGGGTTTAACCATGGTCGAGGTAAGTTGCCAAATGGTTGGGCGACTTATAAGTCGCCATCCGGTTTGGCGACTTATAAGCTGCCCAACCGTTTGGCGACTTACCTATTAAAAACCAGACGGGTTTTGTTAGAGTGAACGCACAACACCCCCAAATCCCCCCAAAGTTGCAGCGACGAAGGACGAACGACGGACGAGAGCCACTCCAACTCCGGCGAACCTCCATCTCCGACAAAGTCACCTTGCCAAGGACTCTCCACCTCCGTCTTCTTCAATACTCTTTCTTCTAGGTAAATCAAAGTCAATTTTCTTCTCGTATTAGTTAGGGTTTTTAGAATCTAAAAATTTCGAAGATTATGAATTAATTTGTGAAATGATTTGTTGTGAAATGTGGATATGTATGACATGTTGAGTTTTAATGTTGAATTAAATGTAATATTTTGGTATTGTTAGGTGTATACTTATCCTATAAGATTTGCTTAAATATGATAGTTTTTAATATGCTCTTATGTGTATGAAATGATTAATTTGGGTGTATAAAGTGTGTATATTAATGTGTACTCATGAAAGTTTGACATGAATTGTTATTAGAATATGGATTTCTCCAACTTCCCAATCGTGTGTCATTGGGGAGGGAACTATTATGAGGATACTGGCCAAATACGCCATGAAGGTGGTAGAAACAGCTTTGTCATTGTTTCTCGTGGCGCATGTTTGCTCGAGATGCTTCAAAAAATACATGTTGCTACAATGATTCCTCTGAGCCGTTCTTTGCGATTGAAAATGAAATTTCTCCTTAACGGGGGAAATTTCATGCTTATGCTACTTGTTGATGAGCTAGCTGTCACAAATATGTGGTTGCTAATTCAGATGGAGAGTATGTCCTCGCTGGAGATTTACATTGAGGGATCCATAGGTGACTCTTCTACAGCTCCGTCAACATCAAATGTTGTTGTATCTAGGCATGGTGTGAATGCAGAGAACTCCTCAAATGGTGTTGTACTGGACATGGTTATAGAGAAAGAGGGTAGGTATTTGGACAATGGTGCATCATTTGTGGATGGGCAGGGAAGTGATGATGATGTTGACGATAACATCAACGGTGATGACATGACAGAATCTGATGAAGATGATGGTGATACTGTCACGACAACTGCCCCGTCTAGCCACTTTACTAGAATATATGATCTCCCTGAAGGCTTTACCGATGTTTGGATGAGTGGAGCAGGTATGAAAAGGTTTACACCCGAAGGTAAGTTTGAGGTTGGTCAACAGTTTGACAACAAAGAACAAATCATCAATATGGTGGGCTTGTATTCTATTAAACGGAACCAATTTTATCGAGTGTTGGAGTCCGATAAACACAAATGGGTTGCAGAGTGCAAGAGGAAGAAGGAACGTGATTGCCCCTGGAGAATACGCGCCACAGAGAACAAAGGCAACCTCGACAGCTTCACAGTTGTGCGTTATCCTGGACCTCATTTTGCTACCTGTGTTGGCAACACCGACAGTACTGATCACGTGGCGATGACTTCTGATTTCATTGCTAAAGATGTGAATGACATTCTTCGCACTGATCTTTCCCTTAAAGTGCATACTATCATTGAGATGCTTAAGGAAAAGTATGGGTATACGGTATCATACAGGAGAACATGGATGGGTAAACAGAAGGTCGTTGCAAACATTTTTGGCGGTTGGGAGATGTCATATTCTGAATTGCCCCATTTCATGACAGCGCTCCAACATTCCAATCCTGTAACTGTTGTTCACTGGTACCCACCCCTAATTACTCCAACATGTTATATGCAGTTTCAGAGAGTATTTTGGGCATTCAAGCCTTCAATACATGGTTTTAAGCATTGTCGATCCGTACTTACTATTGATGGCACACACTTTTATGGGAAGTACAAGGGTACATTGCTCGTGGCTATGAGTAATGATGCGAACAACCAAATATTTCCCGTGGCCTTTGCAGTTATTGAATCTGAGAATGGATAGAGTTGGCCATAGTTTATGGCATGCATTAGGGAGTTTGTCCTTGATAGGGAGTTGTGTGTCATTTCTGATCGACATGCAGGTATAGTGAAGGCAATGAATGAGGTGGGCAGTACTTGGGAGTTGGGAGGAGCCTTATGCGCACCATAGGCTATGTATCCGCCATCTTGCATCAAATGTGCACACTCATTTCAAAGACACTCACCTAAAAAATTTGTTTGTCTGGACCGCGCGGCAACATCAGAAAAAGAAGTTTGATGGTGGGTTAAAGAAGATAGGGGAAATGCGGGTGGAGGCGCGACAATTTATGGGGAACATTCCCTTGGAAATGTGGTCATTACACCACGATGGCGGATACAGATACGGTACCCTCACTTCTAATCTGGATGAGGTTTTCAACGGTGTGATGAAAAATGCCAGATATTTGTCCTCACCGCTTTGGTCCTGGTTTCCTTTTTCCGCGTTAATGTTTATTTTGTTAATAGGCGTGAAAACAGTAAAGGAAGAGTGACTGAAGGCCACGACTACTCTCCACACATAACGGATTTGATTGAGAAGAATAGAGAGAAGGCGAAGCATCACACTATTACTTCATATGATATAGGCCGAGGGATATACCAAGTGGAAACAGGATGTGGTGGCCGAACGTTGGGAAAGGGTGGGAGAAAACAAACTGTCCATCTGCGACGGCGTACTTGCACTTGTAAAAAGATGGAAATATATAAGATTCCCTACTCCCATGTAGTAGCCATGTGCAGACAACGTAGTTTGTCTTCTCATCCATTTGTGGATCCTTTTTTCTCATCTCACCAATATGCCGCGACATATCAAAGAGTCTTTAAACCCATTCCTGACCGTAATTATTGGTCGACTTACTATGGACCTGAAATTGTGCATGATCATCCATGGTTCGGGCTAAGGGAAGACCTAAGTCCACACATATTAAGAATGAGATGGATGAAAGTCCCCGAGGAACGGTTAGATGTGGAAAATGTAAACGAATCGGCCATAATAGGGCCACATGTGCAAAGAGATCATCAACAGATGGAGGGAAGTCCACTGGGTAAAGTTCTAATTATAATACTCCACAATTTATACTAACGGTGCATGGAAAAAAATTATTAGTAAAGTATTAATTAAAAATTAATAAATTAATACAATAGTAAAAATTCACTAATATCCTTTTTCTTTTTTGTAGGCATGGAGGTGTCAGCGGATCCTGGGCCGAGTGATCGTTCTGTCCTGACATTGCAGGCCTCGCACAGGAGTGAGGATGTGTGGCTTGGCGTCGATGTTCAGGTGGATAGGTGCCGCGAGCACCTACGTGGTTTGTCGCATGTGCGGGTGGATGACAAAGTACTTGACATGTTCGTGCTGCGGGTTTTTATGGTCTGCATAGATTGGTGGCTACTATCCCTCTCGATAGAGTGCTACTCACTGCTCTTCTTGAACGTTGGAGACAGGAGACACACACATTTCACCTCCCTGTTGGTGAGGTGACAGTGACCTTGGGAGATGTTGCTGTACTGACCGGGTTACAGGTAGATGGGAGAGTTGTTACTGGTATTGCTTGTCGACTGTGGGTTGATGAGTGTAAGCGTTTGTTGGGTGTTCGCCCCCTTCTCCGGGTTGACATTCAGGGGTCATCTCTGAGGATGTCGTGGCTGAGGGAGCATTTCACTGTTCTTCATGCGGACACTGATGGGGTGATGATCCAGCAGCATGCACGAGCATATATTTTGATGATGATGAGAGTTTTCATTTTCTCTTACAAGAGCGGAAATGAGGTTCAAGTGCTGCACTTGCCTATGCTAGAGAGGTTTGATGTAGCAGCACAGTTCAGTTGGGGTAGTGCCACGCTGGCTTATCACTACAGACAGTTGTGTCGAGGCTGCCATTGAGGGAGCATAGAGGTTGGAGGATTTTTGTTTCTTCTCCAGATTTGGTCATGGGAGTACATCCACATTGGGCGTCCCATTATAGTGGCATACCATGGCATTGATGGACACCCACTGCCTGATGAGCCTCCACGTCTCTTGGGACTACATCATGTACGGGGCGAGGACCCTCTGGGCCGTCGGTATGTTTTCAATCGTTTGAATTTATCAACCAAGTTCCTTGGCTTTGCATCTGACGGTAAGTATATTACTAATTACTAAAGTAAGTCATTTTCTTTATTTAACACTTTTATTTATTTCTAACTAATTGTAATTGTGTTTCATATTTCAGAAACGAGCTTTGCAGCGTATACATTAGCGGGCTACTGCCACAGTGAGTGATACGCATGACGTGGACATGTACGGTCAGGCTTTGACGGGCATTGCCTCGTTGTGTTCAGATGTGTTGGGGTGAGTCGACTACGGTCATCTTATACATATGCCCCCATCTCAGGCTATGTCATCGACATCTA